GTAGGAAACTAAAGCTTATGCTTAACAACTTTCTCATGGTAACAAGTTGAGAGCCAGTGATGAAAACACTGGTCCATCTAACCATCTGTGTTCTTTAACCAACTTGTACTCTCTTGCTTTCTTGGAAACCTTTTGTGAAATTTACTCTGGCTATAGAATACAAGATGGGGTGGTAGGGATACAGATATTTGAAAGCAGAGAGACCACTTTGGAAGTTCTCTTATAGAAGCTCACACTTGTGAAGTGAGACAAGATCTGGTTTAGGAGTGATGGCAGTTGCAATGGAAAGGAAGTTAAAGGATTTGGTAACATTGTCACTGGGAAGGAGAATGGTCTCAAAACATCAAATTTTAAGGGATGCAGGGTAGGGAAAGTTAAAATTGATAAATTTGGTTTTATGTGTGAATATGTTACAGTGAAATCCACCATTCTCTGTAATTGAAATGTGTCAGTAAAGGAAAAAAATGACTTCTCAAGGAAAGTTTTGATGCCCACATTCCTACCAATTTTGGTCTTCGTCTTTGAATGTTATCATAACTCACAGTTTTAATTAAGAGAGTAACTGATCTTTTTCCTCCCCTACTTTAGGTTGCTTCTTGAGGGCAAGACAGTACTTATGAATGGCTGTGTCCCTGTTGCCTAAGCAAAAGGAGGAAAATTCTTTTCATAATACCATGGTGTTTGTAAATTGTTCCACATTCTTGAAAGTATGCAGATGCTACATGATGTATGATGACATTGTCATGGATGTTAATTCATGAATGATGATGTATGTACTTGAATTTTCTAAGGTGGCAAGCAGGTAGGTTTAAGTATGAATTTTTTAAAAGAAATTTTTAGGTTATATGTTCTATAACCTACAACCTCAATGTCATGCAGTTGTCTTGTCATTTTACTTGTGCCTTAGAAAATCCTGGCATTTTTTCACACTGCACATTTTTAAATTTGGTATACATCTTTTTTCTTTTTTTTTTACTTGTAGATGAAAACACAGTATCTTTATTTTTGTGTGGTAGTGAGGATTGAACCCAGTGCCTCACACATGGGAGGCAAGTGCTTTACCACTGAGCTACAGCCCCAGCCCCATTCATCTTATCTTGTTTTTTGCAGTGATTTAAATATTTTCTCCAAACTTCCAAATTTTAGAACTACAGCTTATTTTAGAATTTAGTAATTTGTACTGAAAGGCTCAAAAAAGATAAGGCTACTTGTTCAAGCCCCAGTTTTCACCATCTATGATTTAAAATGCTACACAAATTGACTTGAAGGAGGGAAGAACTGACCAAAGAAACTATATGAAATAAAAATATGAAAGTTGTCTTTTGTTTGGCTTTAAAGATAATTTAATGTAGCATGTCTTATGAAATAGAATAATTTGTATAGTGTTGGTACCACCTATGTTGTAGAGTCATTTTGAAACTAATTCAAACTTGCAGTTTTTTTGGTTGTTCTTGGTTTTTTTTTTTTTTTGAAAGGTATTGAATATTTTAAATGTTGACATGATACAAGAAAACAAAAATCATTAGAGGTTTCAAACCAGAAATGAAAAAGCTACTGATGTAAATTATTGCATTGTATTGGCTGGAAAAACATACAAAAAAGCTAAGAAATTTAAGAGGTATAGTGCACATTGCTAATTATCTGCTAGATGGTAAGAAATAATTATAGTAGTTCCTTTTTTGTACATTACAGCAACTTGTCATGTTAAAGATTTGTGTGCAGATGTGAACTCTGAATCTCTTGTGGAAGTGTACTTGCACTTTACGATGTACAAACATGGCTAAGCTTGTTATTTTACTTGTATTTGCTCGGCATCAGGTAATCAAAGATAACCTTTATGTGGAAGTGTGGTAATAAACACTACATGTCCTAAAATAGTCCAAGTGTGGAATTACTTTTTAAATCTCATGCTTTATCCTGAACAATTATCTGTTGACATTTGCACTAATGGTGGGAAAGCAGCAGTGAAAAAAACTGTGGGCACCTTAGCACAAATTAAGGCAATTACATAAAACTGGTAGTCCTTCATTGCCATGCATCACTAAAATAAAACCAAAAGGATTAAAAAGCCACTTTCTCTAGGTATGGTGGCATAGCCTGTAATATCAACAGTTTGGGAGTTTGAGGCTAGCCTGGGCAACTTAGCAAGACCCTGTCTCAAGAGAACTAGAGACATGGACTCCCCTGTGTCTTCCCACCCCAAAAGCCAATTTTCACATGAAAACAATAAAATTATTTTGTTAAATGTGGACTCCACTACTGGGGATTGATCCTAGGGGAGCCCACATATGCTAGGCAAGTGGTCTTATGATGAGCTATATAACAGCCCTTTTTAAAATTTTCTTTTCAAGATTGGTCCTAACAAAGTTGGGCCTTGAATCTTCCTACCTCTGAAGCCCAAATAGCTGGGATTATAGGTGTGTACCACAGTGACCAGTATAATTTGTCGGTATGAATGAGGGAATGTAAAGTTTGCATAAAGTACTTTGTACAGTGGTTGTCTTTAGAAAAACTACTCATGCAATAGTGTTGCAAGCTGAATGTTTTTCTTGGAGCACCATTTTTTACTTGAAAGAATGACAAGTGTTATTTGTAGTTTGCTACTGTGAAGAAGTGAGCCTGTTCAGGAAACAACTAACAGCAATTAAAATCAAACTTTGAAGTGAAAATCAGAATTTTGAGAAAACTTGTCTCTACTCTCAGCATGACAGTTGGGCTTTTATATGCTGATACTTGAAGACATTAGGTACTACATAGTGAAATGGGGCCAACTTCTGGGAGTTTCCATAATTCAGCGTGTATTTTCCAGCTAACCAATACAAAAATAACAAAACGGCAATGTCTCAACCAGTTGAATGCAGAAGATAAAAATCCAGCTGCTTTCCATTATCCCAGACCTAAGAAAATTAGTTACAAAAAATGTAAAACAATGCCACTCTTCTAATTACTTTTGAAAACAGTTACTGCCATGAAAATCAATGCTACAATATTTAGATTTTTTTGTTTTAATTTCTAATGGTAAAATATTGGTTAAGAAAGCTATTGAGGCCCTCAATTTTTAAGAATGTGGAAGGATCCTGCCTGAGACCACACAAGAATGAAAAGTGGCTGTCCTAGCCTGTAATACACATGGTAAACAGATGCATGGATGACTGTGTTAAGGGCATGCTAGGACAAGGAGCAGGTTTCTAAGAAAAGTGTATTTTGGGATGGGATGTACAAGGCTAATAGGCAGTTACAAATTAAGAATTCAGGGCTTGAGAAAAACTAAGCACCATTATCCTTCCTAGTAAAAAACTGGTTCTACTATAAATCTGTCATTGAGTAACTTGTAACTTCACAACTGATTAGCAAACGTGTTAACCCCAGGACAAAAGGGTAAGGGGTAATATGGTAGGCCTATTATGAAGCATCTGACATTTTTTCACATTGCACATTTTAAAATTTGATATGCAGACATGTTCTTGGGTGTTTATTCTGAACTTGTTTTAACCTACCAATGTGCGATAATTAAATTTACTCCCCCCCCCCCCCAGCTATCACACTTTGACTATATCCCCACTGACCTTCATGCAGGACACCTCACTTGAATGTGGAAAAGGCAAATAATTTTCCCTTTTTTATGCCTGTGTCACTAATGAATATTATGTACTCACAGGCTTTATTATACTTTGTTACTTATTAAACCTTTCATAATAGTTCCCTTTTTCTGACTTCAATTTCTTTTGATCCCTGCAGTGCAGGCCTGAGCTCATATCTGAAATTTACAGGCTAAGTCCTCAGTTTTTGCAGTTTGCTTAAAGTCTTTTTATAGGTGGTGGTTCCCTTTTTTTGCCGATGGGGGTGGTGGTGGTAACCAGGGATTGGACTTGGGGCACTTGACCACTGAGTCACATCCTCAGCCCTGTTTTATTTAGAGAGGGTCTCACTGAGTTGCTTAATGCCTCACCATAGCTGAGGCTGGCTGTGAACTCGTGATCCTCTCAGTCTTAGCCTACTGAGATGCTGGGATTACAGGCATGCACCACTGTGCCCAGCAGTTGTTCCCTTTTTAACCACTCTAGTACACTGTCTAATCTCCAGAGATAACCATCCTCATTAGATCTGTACAATCTTTCTCAATGTTTACATTGTTTTTTACCCTCAAATAATATTGACTTATTCCCAATAATGTAATATCTGGTGTCTGACTCATTTTCAGATTATTATAGATTTCCTTTCCCATCTCTTCACATTCCCATGGTCCTTTTTATTTTTCTCTTTAAACAATGTTAAAAAGGACATTCCCATGGTCCTTTTTAATTTTTCTCTTTAAACAACTAGTAAGTAGGTGGCAGTATCATCAATTCTAGGCTTTCTGGATCCTCAGTCCATTCCCTATTCTGGTCATCCTATAACAAAACACTAGGGAAGAAGGTGACATTATTACCTACATATATTTGCACCACCTTGAAAAAGTCTGGCCATGGCTTTACTACAGTATTTAACAGAATTAAAGCTATGAGGCCCATGCCTGTAATCTGAGCAGCTGGGGAGGCAAAGCCAGCCTTAGTAAAAGAGAGGAGCAACTCGATGAGACCCTGTCTCGAAATAAAGTAGGGCTGGGATGTGGCTCAGTGATTGAGTACCCAAGTTCAATCCCCAGTACCAAAAAAAAAACAACAAAACTATGATGAATCAAACACAAAGCTGATATATTTACTTTATGCTAATATGCAGAAATATTATTTGTTCAGCAAATATTAAATGCCCACTCTGTGGCAGGTACTTGGTAAACAGTGGTGAAAACACTTTTTACTTGTACTTTCTGGTTCTATGGACTGCTGCTGACCAGCTTAGTTTGAAATTTAAATGGTGTGTCACAGGTGAAAAGTTGTTAATGTTTAGCCCTTTTATAATGCAGCTATGAATTCTTGATAATGGTAAAAATGCCAGTGTGAGATATAAAACTTTTATAAATGTCTTACTTCCAATTCAAGAATAAACAATGAACGCAGTTCTCTCAAAGAATACTGTCCTTTTATTCTAAATGGAGACATCAAAAGGGAGTAGTATTATCACATTACTAAAATGACACAAAATATAAGCTGAATGCAGCCAGATATTTCAAAATAAACTGGGCACTGTAAAAGAATTCCACATAAAACCTCAATTACTTTTTATCCCAGGGAAGCACCATTTTACTAGGACTGACTATTGAGGTTCACTTTCCACAAAACTCGGGAAGAACTTCCTGTGAGTTGAAAAGAAACTAAATGTGAAAAATAATCCACGAGGAAATAACAAACTTAGATGGCCCATAAATTAAGTTTTCATTTGAACATAGACTAATTTTTTTCTCTCAACAAAAAAAGTACTGAAGACATGTTTATGGTTGCCTTGAAAAACAACAGACTTGTAAACTGATTTGGCTTATAGGTCCCACACCTCAGCTATCTATGTTTCTGGTACTGTTAAAAAACAAACAAACAAAAAACAGTAAAGTGTCTTTGTAAACCCTTTCATAAATTCTACCCCTCTGTTTTAGTTCTGTATATTAATCTGGATAACATGCATACTTTAATTTTTAAGGCAGATGGTAAATTTTCCTATAGGTCTACTCCATCTTGTCATGGGGCAAATACTATTCACAAAATGTAATAGTGCTTCATTTTTCTGAGGTTGAGGTAACGAGTACTGAGCTATTAAATAGCAAAGCTGCATAGGTAGAAAGATGTAGCTTAAGACACTATTTTAAGATTACTATGTTCTCTGCCTTTGGGCCAAGGTGGCTTTCCACTTGACACAATAAAAATAAAACATTCTAAAACCTAGATCCTAGAGTACCTTGGTAGGCTTTTCTCTAATCATTTTTAAAGCAGTGTAAGAAAAATACTAACTGCACAGCTACTTTTTTCAAAATATCCCCAAGGAATATGTTTTCTTTTAAAGTTATATTACATTACTTTGTATTTTGCTAACCAAGGAGAAGAGCTTTGGACTGGTTTAAATAGTAGACTGCACTTTTGTTAATAACTATTTTTCTCTATAAAGTTCTTCATGCTGACATTCCCAGTGTTGAAAAGTATAATACTCTTAATCATCTTCATCCTATGCATTACCAAGGAGTTCTCCTCTCTCCATCTTGTTCCACAGGATGAACAAAAGCTTGGGGGGTACGTTTCAGAAGATAAACTGCAGCATGAAGACCCCCAATATTCACCCAGACTGTATGCACTTTTCGCCATAAGTGTCCCATTCCAGATAATGCCTGTGTGCACACAAAAAACATAAAATAATCAGGCTGACAATCTGCTTCTAAAGTAACCAGGGATCTTAGTTGCCAATTAAGAAACACTAGGGGAAGAGAAAACATCCTATTCAAACTAATATCCCAGGTTTACTTTAAGATCCTAAAGTTGCCATAGGCACCTTGGTAAAGCATTTCTTGTCCTGAGTAAGTAGAACAGCTCGGCCTGTCCCGGGTCTACAGACACGGCTCATCTCTCGAAGGCAAGCTGGATAAAGATTCCAGTTTCTCTTCTTGGAGCCCATCCTATAAAAGAAAGTGTGATAAGCCAACCATTTACTGTTGCAAAAGAGAAATATCTAAGACTTTGAACAAAATTTCATGCACACTGAAGGATGATAGTTGCCTTTTAGAAGCTAGAGCTTTGCCATTATATGGCAGTGAAATGAGAGTAGATAAGTTAGAATTGTACATATTTTTTAACAGAGAAAAAAAAGTGACAACTTGTCCTCTTAATTGGTATATTAAGCAAACTATATAAACCAAACTAGTGGTTACAAATCGTTTTTCCTGAGGGACAATCAGAATCAAGTCTTCCTCATCCTTTTAATATGAAGTATAATTATGTAATTCAACAGGAAGTAAATTATAGGTAATTTTAAAAAATGAGTCTCCTGTGATGGGCAGTATCAAAATGTAGTTAATATATATTCGTGAATTCTCAGAAGAAACAAAATGGGTGAGTCATCATATTAAAAGTATTCAGTTAAAAAAATGGCTCTTCTAAGTCTTAAAAGGAACTGAAAATTTATATTCTGACTTAGAATAAGCTCAAGTTGAAATTTAGGAGACAAATGAGGACTAGAAAAAAACGGTGAAATAAAACATTGGGGTGTGTTGAACCCAGGGCCTCAATACATGCGAGCAAGAGCTCTATCACTGAGCTACATTCTTAATCCTTTAAATCTTATTTTTGAGACTGTGTCTCACTATGTCACCCCCAGGCTGGCCTTGAACTTGGGATTTTCCTGCTTCGTTTCCCGCTCTCCTCATAGCTGGGATTACAGACATGCACTGCCAAGCCTGGCAAAAGTTGTTCAAAAAACCAGTTCTTACCTTTTTCCAAATGGCATATCTGTTACAATAATGTCCACAGAACCAGTTCTCAATGGAAGATTGCAAATGTCCCACTGCACAGCATCAATGGGCAAACCCCAGGATGGTTTGCTGTGGAGACAAAGGAAGGAATATAGACGCTTTAATACGCTTTAACAATTCTGAAGTAATGAATTTTTTAAAAATAATTTTCTTTAAAAGAGACTGCATAGCAAAGTATAAAATACTAAGAATAACAATGAGAACATCAATAATCTTAAATGTAGGAAGAAAGCATTTGGTCATAAGATAAAACTATTATAAAGACTGAAAGGGAAAATATACAAGTAAATTTAAAAAATGGTTAAGACTGATTTTCAAAAGATGTCGACATCTGTTTCATATACAATTCAAGAAAACAGATTGGGGAAAATGAGCTTGTCACAAAGAACTTCAAGAGACAAATTTACAGCATTGAAAGCAGTAAATTACATAACTGGTATAGTTATTGATGAAACAGATACACTGGGAAAAAAATTAGCACTAGAAAGATTATGAGTTAACATCTGAAGAATAAAGTCTGATAAATCTAGTAGTATTAGACATAAATATAAAATTGGTAAATAGAAAATAAGTAATCATATAATTATTTTAAGATTAAACAAGAAGAAATGTATGCATCATGCTGTATTTTATTTTTTTATTTGTTTTTTGAGTGAGAGAGAGAGAGAGAGAATTTTTTAATATTTATTTTTTAGTTTTCGGTGGACACAACATCTTTGTTTTTATGTGGTTCTGAGGATCAAACCCGGGCCGCACGCATGCCAGGCGAACGCGCTACCACTTGAGCCACATCCCCAGCCCCTCATGCTGTATTTTAAAAAACCAAAGAAGAAAGGTAAGACTGAAAACATGATGGAAACCAGAATGAATATCACAATAAATATAAAAGATTTAAAGCTTCCCCATTAAGATAAAGCAAACTTTTAAGAAACTAATAGGCAATAATGCACAGGCTAAAAACTAAAGCAAATCAAAGATTATGAGCAGAAATTGAGGGTTTTAATACTGAATAAGAACAATTTACAAAAATTTAATAAAGGCAAATCTACATAATGAAAAAGCAGTTATAACCAAAAGATTGTAAAAGTTAAGATAATTAATAAAAATCGCATAGGCTGAATCAACAAAAAGTCAAAAGTCCAGAGAACCTGAACAACAAAATATTCAGAAACTTGAAGAGAAATAATTTGTTTAAAATGTTAATCAGTCTGGAAAAAAATTGATATGCTTAAGCCTCAAAACCTAATATGAAAAAAAAGTGTATCATAAGAATCCATTCATCATAATAAGAGAGTTTTAAGAAACCTGTGTATATAAAATGATCTAAACTTGCTACTTCAAAGTTGGTACACAGATGAGTAGCATAAGCATCACCCAGGAGCTTGCTAGAAAAGAATCTCAGGTCTCATTTCACATTTACTGAATCTGAATGTTAACAGGATCCTCAAGTAATTCATATATATATTAATGTTTGAAAAGTACTGTCCTAAATGACTTGGGAGACAAGTGCATCACCAAAGATTTGGAAAGTAACAAAAATTATAAAACTATAGGATATGGTCAACATTAGCTATCAGAATAAAACTAGCTTGAATAAAACCTTTCATAATTAACAATTTGGGGAAACAAAAACTGTAAATGTGAAATAGGGATTAAAAAACAAGCACTTGGGCTGGGGATGTGGCTCAAGCGGTAGCGCACTCGCCTGGCATGCGTGCGGCCCGGGTTCGATCCTCAGCACCACATACAAACAAAGATGTTGTGTCCGCCGATAACTAAAATATAAATATTAAAAAAAAATTCTCTCTCTCTCTCTCTTTAAAAAAAATAAAAAAAGAAACAACAAGCACTAGGGGCTGTGGCTATAGCTCAGTGGCTGAGTGCCTGCCTAGCACGTGCAAGGCATTAAAAAATAAATAAAATAAAGACACGATGTCCATCTACAACTCCCCTGTACGGCCCCCCCCCCAAAAAAAACACAAAAAACCAAGCACTAGCATAAAACCAAAGAACAACTGAGGATGTAGCTCAGTGGGAGAAAGCTAGTCTAGCCTAAGCTCCTGGGTTCTGGCCCCAGGACCAAAAATGTTAAATAAAGAAAACCAAAGAACAAATAGTGTATGAAAGAACAAAAGACTAGCAAGCTTTATCAGGAAAAAAAAATCAGACAAGGAAATAGTCAATATATAGATATAAAATAGTATCAGACATATACCATGTACAGTACTAATTAGGAATATCTATATAAAATGACTATATTTAAAAAACATTCATTTCTACTTAGAAATATAAACCTTACACTATTAATGGAGGCAGCTGTTTCTGAAGGCCAATTGTGGGATATAATGACTTCCTGTGTGATATATTCAGGATGTGGAGCATCTGTAAGACTTAACAAATCAGCTGACCATTACCTTCTGCAGTTTTACCAAAGAATGAAGGACACTCACAGAAGGGACCAGAGAAGCAGACTTATGATGAGGCCTCTGGTAAGAAACTATAGGCCAAGTGAGTGACATTACAACTAATTCTTCCCAACTCACCTAAGACTTTCAAAAGATGATGAAAAGCTGACACAGATGGTATCAAATGGAATTTGGAGTAGTAGACTAGGGCCTAAGATATTTAAACTACATACATCTCAAAAGGATAACCAACAAATTTTCCCAAAGGCAAATAGACTTCCAAACCAAGGATATCAAAGGCACATGGTTTAGTAAGAAGCCGTTTACAAAGAACCAAATGTGATCTTAGATCTCTTAGCCTTAAGAACAGTGAGGAATACACATGTTAAGAAAGGGAGGAAAAGGTATATGGTTGAAGGGCCTAGGAATGTTTTGCTAAAGGAAGAGAAGATTTTGGGGGGTAGGCTATAGCCCTTCATATATCTGATTTCTGTCATGATGCGACATTGAGATAATTTTTTTCTTGATGGACTCAAGTGGGAGAATAAAAGCAAATCTGTGAAAGGTATACAGGGAAATGTTCACTAAAAGAAATGACTAGTACTTGGCTGTGCAAAACAAAATAAACAGCCTTCAGGGGCAGAGTGATTAGAGGTATTTAAGCAGGATAGAGGGCCACTGGTCAGACTCTCCTATAGAACATTTAGAAATCATGGGGATGAGATCCAGGAATGGTAATACATGTCTATAAACCCAATGTCTTGGGAGGCTGAGGCATGAGGATCACAAGTTAAAAGCCAGCCTCAGCAATTTAGTGAGGCCCTAAGCAACTTAGGGAGATCCTATCTCAAAATAAAACAAAAAGAGCTGGGGAATGTGGCTCAGTGGTTAAGTGCCCCTGGATTCAATCCCTGGTACCAAAAAAAAAAGGTCAGTCATAGAAATCATGGGGATGATTTTCAGGTCTTTTTACAACTCAGATTCTCTGAAGTCCCAAATAATAGAGATAGGCTAAATTGTAATAATGAAATATTATGCAGTCATTTAAAATAGACTGTAAAAACACAATGTACTTAAAAACTTGAGAAAATGAAATGAATCTATATAGTCTTTGAGAAAATAGATGTATGAACAAGGAAAGAAAAAGGAAGACAGACATAAAAGGTTAGAAAAGGGTAAGGTCACAATCCACTGCAGGAATTCATAATTCATTATGAAAAGTAATTTCCTAGATGCTACAAAATCTTGTAAATTAAAATTTTACCCATCTTTCATCTGGCTCTTGGTGAGTAAAGATGAGATGTTATTTGCTGCTCTTTTCACAGCCAGGGGATTATTATCACCAGCAATATGATAACAGTCAGCCCATTCCATTGCCCCCTAAAAAGACAAGGGTGTATTTTAAACTAGAAGTAACAAACACACACACACACATACACACACACAAAAAAAAAAATCAAAGGGGAAATTATTTTAGTCATTGTCAATAAACAAGACAATCTAACCCAGTGCTTTTCTGAAGTGGCAAAACTAAGCTTGTTGTCAATTTTGCTGTTCCCTTTGCTAGAAATGCCTCCTGTTCTTTCTTTGCTTGCTGAACTCCTATTCATCTTTTAAGACCCAGTTCAAATGTCACACCCTCTAATATCAACCCCAACTTCCCAACTATCTTCTCAAGCACCCCTTCAAAAGCACGCGTACATACCTCTACCACAGTGCTTGTTTCATTTCAAATTGTTCATATCTGTTTGCCTCCCAACTAAACTTGTAAATCCCTAGGACAGAACTAGTGTTTTATTCAATCCCTCAATCAGCAGTATCTGGCAAACAGAGGCATTATAGTCCCTGAATAAATATGGTGTAAAAAAAAATTGTCCAAACAGAACTGGCCAAACCCATAACCATTTTGGATTGTGGGAGTTAATCTTATCTATTCAAACATTTAACAGTTTCAAAATAAAGTGCCATTACCAATGCAAGATAGACTTCTGGAAGATAATCACTCTATCACTGAAAGGATTTTGTAATTTTAAAATTGAAAACATGTCAGCAGAACATGGTATTTATATACCAAGCTGTCACATATCATTTGTGGAATGAGGTGATATACTATCCTAGGCTGAGGCTGAACAATGTTTCTACGCAAATTAACAGAACATGAAATCAGAGAGTAACGAACACTACATCCTTTGTGAATGGAAACACACCTCCCCTCCATGAATACAGTACTTCATAACTTTTTATTTTGCCTAGACATTTTGGAGTAATGACAACTCCAGTCTGTAATCTTACAATGACTTGAAACAAAAGGGATGTTGAAGTATGCCAGAATTTGGGTGGGCAGGGAGGTAGAAGGAACCTACAGTGTCTAAAACGTCTTTCACATGATTCTGACTACCCAATATATTTTGAAAAAAATGAATCTGGATTTTCTACTTCAGAAAAAGATGCATTTTATAGTACTTCCAAGTTTTAAAGCAAATATTCTACATGAACAAATCTGCATTTATACCTTGTGAATCCTTTTACAATTTTCACTTTGATCATATCTCAGCTTAGGTTTTCCTACCTTGTACCTTGGTACCTTATGTCTACATGGAAGTGGCTCAAAAAAATTCTTTGCCTTCATTTTGATTCTGTTCTTTAGCTCTATGGTACATTTCTTGATATAGTAGCCTTACCTGATATTTTACAGACATCATGGTTTAACACTGTAGAACACCACTGTGTCTTGTTTCTTTTTCTTTTTCTTTTTTTTTTTTTTGTGGTATTGGGAACTGAACCCAGAGGTGCTCTACCACTGAGCTACATCCCTAGTTCTTTTTATTTATTTATTTATTTTTAATATTGCTAAATTGCTGAGGTGGGCCCTGAACTTGATTCTCCTGTTTCAGCCTCCCAAGTAGCTGGTATTATTGGCAGGCATGTGCTATCACGCCTGGCTCCCAAATTATTCTTGACCACAAATGGTTTTTCTCTATGCAGGTCTCAAGAGTAATTTCTCTAGCTGTTATTAGCAGAGCATATAGTCACTACTATGATTGCCTTCCTGGATTTTAACTCCCAAATCATGGATATATAATTTTCTAATTACGGTCTGGATTATTTTTCTCTTTGTGGGTTGCTTTGAACTTGATTATCTGTCCAGTTTCTGCCTATTCATTGAATCTGTGGGATCTTCCTGCAGTTTTACCGGCTGGCTTTTGGTATACTATATGGAAGAATTTATTATGTTTCACACAGGTTAAATTATTTTACTGTGAGCTTCCTTTTCTAAATTTTTTTTTTTTTTTTTTTGGTAGATGGACAGAATGCCTTTATTTTGTTTATTTATTTATTTTATTTTTTTAATGCAATGCTGAGGATCGAATCCAGTTCCTCACATATGCTAGGCAAGCACTCTACCACTGAGCCACAGCTACAGCCCATCTAAATCTTTTCTAAATGCATACATGATATTGATTCATTGAAACGCTGTTAAATGTTTTCTACTTAGAAAATACCTTTTCATTTCTTGCTTTGCCTTATGTGGTTTTTATGTATCTTCTCAACATCACAGTAACTGTGAAAGCTATTTAAGAGCATTTGGTATACAGCCTGTCAGCCTTCCCAGAAAAATCCAAATAATGCTTATAGATACCGCTGCTTCCCATGCTCCCCACAGCACTGGGGCTGGAACCCAGGGCCTTGTGCATGCTAGGCAAGTGCTCTACCACTGAGCTACACCCCAGTAGATCTCCCTTTTAAACACTATACTTATTCACTCCAGGAACATAAATAGATTAAAAGAAGAATCTTACTATGTAGAGATGAAAAATGCTTTCCTCCACTTTATGCTTATGCCTTCAATGATCTTTTCGTGTGCAATCTACTGGATTATTTATTACAGAAAGGGCGCTCAGCGTCTTATAATTATCAGCCTTCTCTGTAATCTAGTCAGTAGATATATCACTACCTGGTCTCTTGGTCCTTGGATACTTTAAATAACATTCTGGACAGATTGCATGCTCATCTAAAAACTAAAGAAAAGTTATTACCTCTATTGGTATTGCCCCTGTTCCACACATTGGATCAATTATTATATCAGTAGGTTGAGGTGCACAAAGCCTGGAGAATAAAAACACAAAACACAGCCTATGAGAAGAGGCTCAACCAAAAGGTAAGGCTTCTACAATGATACCTAAAGCTAAAAGATTAAGGATCTATCACAGTAGCTTGAAGGAACACCAATCTACATTAAGTTTCTCTTCCGTTCTCTTGTCCTAATCTTTTCATATTCTGTGACATTACTTACTTCATGCATGGTAATTATATCCCTCCTAAGACAGCTTCTTGGGTGCAGCTCTACCTTCTTGTTCCTATGCCTCAACATACTGCAACAGAGTCCTTGGCAGACCCATTGCTGATGAACTACATCACTCACATCCTCTCTTCCAAGAATTTGGAATAAAGAGTAAGAAGCCCTCAGTAATACAGGCTGGTCATTTGAAATGGGAAATATATATATTTATATGAGGGAGCAGCAATGTGCACAGATGAGCAGAGACAAGAGCCCATAGGCTCTCAGGAGAGATAAAAGCAGCTGCCTAGGTTTCTGGGGGTTTTCCATAATCTAGTTTCTACTCTTAAGACATGGCTTTCTGGTTTTTTTGTTTGTCTGTCTTTTGTTTTGGGGTGGATTCTATATGACTTCTTATAACAGCCTATCCCCTGATATAATCATCACTTTATTTATTCTAAAGTAGTTTACTTAAGTTCATAATATTTGCACCCAAAATAACTCTCTGTACCCCTGGCTCCTACAATAATACCTGGTGGTAGATAATGTCTGTTAAATGAATGAAGGTTAGGAATTCTTCCTTAATCAGATGGGTCCAGTTTTCTATTATTGTCATTGAATTGATATGTTCCAACTGTGCTGAAATATGAGGAGCAGAATACAAGAGGAAGCAAAGATTGGAAGGACATAGTCATTTAACTACTAGGACATGTAAGGCACTGCATATAATAGGTATCTTGAGGGCTGGGAACATAGTTCAGTGGTAGAGGGCTTGCCTAGCATGCACTGGGTTAGATCTCCAGCACTGCAAAAAAACAAAACTAAAACAAAACTTGTTCTCTCTCTCTCTCTCTCTCTCTCTCTCACACACACACACACACACACACACATACACAATGATATCTTGAATATGTTTCTGCATTTAATCTTCATTAATAATCCTTTGAAAAGTCTCCACATTAAACCCATTTTGTAGTTTCAAAATCAGAAGTTTGGAAAAGATAAATGTCTGAGTGGTGGAAGGAAGCACTCAATAAAAGGGAAAAGGGCCAAGGAAAGGGAAAACTGGGTCTTGCACTCTGAAAACTGGAAAATTCCAGGATGATTCCTGGATTGCTGTTCAGTATAACATTTAAAAATATGAATAAAATTTCTAGATTCAGTTACACATTATGCACATTCTAAAAATCTTTGCTTTCATCTGCTTTACTGCACATAAATGAAATAACAAAATCTGCTCTATCTCCCAACATACAATACATCCTTTCTAAACAGAAATGTGGCTATGCCATTCAAGAGGCAGATGAAAACTAATCACCCTAATTTAACAATCAAGAAAACTGAGAAACTGATTAAATGATATTTTTAGTATTACAAGGAGTCAATACTAGATATTAAGGAAGGTAACAGATCATTAGTTTTTTAATCCTTTTCATTATCCACTAAATTCCAACATCTTATGAAAGGAAAGAAAAAAATATATCAGTTTTTTGAATGGAAAATATAAAGGAAGGTGCCACTTGTGATCTGTACAGCAAAAAATATACTCCCTTACCTGAGCATCCCATAGGCAAGAGTAGATCTAAGAGTTGTAGGTCCAAAATGTGTAATATTTCTGCGGTGGAGACTTTCCTCAGTCAATGCAATTCCCACGATGATTTCATTATCATGGATATTCAAGAGAACCTATAATTAAGTTAGGTCAGAAGTAAGTTTCAAGCTTGTTCAAACTGTACTTTTATTAAGACTTTTTGGTGGCACTGGGGATTGAGGCCATACCACTGAGCTACACCTTCAGCCCTTCTTTATTTTAGACAGGGTTTGGATCTCAAACTCAAGGTCTCAGGCTGGCCTCAAACTTGTGATTTTCATGCCTTAGCTTCCTGATTGGCTGGGATTACATCAATGTGCCATAGTCCCCAGTTTCTTATTACTGATACTTTGGAGGCTTTTATACTTTTTTTTTTTTTTAAGATTTATTTATTTATTGGTTAGACATAATACCTTTATTTTTTTAATTTATTTTAATGTGGTGCTGAGGATCGAACCCAGGGCCTCACACATGCTAGGCAAGCGCTCTACCGTTGATCCACAACCCCAGCCCAAAGGTTTTTTTTTTTTTTTTGGTGGGGTTCTTTTTTTTTTTTTTGTCTTTTTTGGAACTGGGGGTCGAACCCAGGGCTTTGCGAATGCAAGGCAGACGCTTTGCCACTGAGCTACATCCCAGCCCTTTATACTTTTTTCTTGAGGTATACTCTGCACACTGTACAGTACATGAGTCTTTTTTTTTTAATAGCTTTATTTTATGTATTTACTTCAACTTTGTGTGTGTGTGTGTTGCTAGGGATTGAACCTAGGGCCTTGTACATGCAAGGGCGAGCACTCTACCAACTGAGCTATATCCCCAGCCCTTATTTATTTATTTTTATTTGATGCTGAGGATCGAACTCAGTACCTCACACATGCTAGGCAAGTGCTCTACCACTGAGCCAAAACCTCAGCCCCTACATGAGTCTTAAGTATACAGCTCAGTGAGGTTTTTTTTTTTTTTTTAATTTTTTAATATTTATTTTTTTTAGTTCTCGGCGGACACAACATCTTTGTTTGTATGTGGTACTGAGGATCGAACCTGGGCCGCACGCATGCCAGTCGAGCGCGCTACCGCTTGAGCCACATCCCCAGCCCATCAGTGAGTTTTTATTACCTTTATATACACTACATAATTGCTACCCTGATACCCTGATGAAGATACAGAATATTTCTCACATCCTAGGAGAATCCCCTTGTCCCCTTCCTAGTCTATACTCACTACTACAAATTAGCTTCAGCAATTTTTAAATTTCACATAATATAGTATATATTATGTTGTGATTAATTTTAAAATTTATTTTATTCTTTTCATTCTCTGTATTTATAAGTTGACTATAACCAGATTTTCCCCCAATTTTATGTTTATGAATTGTGAAGGCTTATCTTTTAAATATAATTTAAATTCCTAACTTTTTTGAAAAAAAAATTCATACAGTCAAACATACAGAAGTGCTACAAAGACCACTAGCATAATGAACTCCTAATTATTCTTCACCCAGATTAACACAGTGTAACATTTGCTTTATAATCTATTGTTTTCTTAGTATTTTCAAAAATCTGACTCACTTAGCAATATGATCTCCAATGTACTATTTTTGCCATATGATTTCCTAACAAACTACAAATAAAAATAAAATGTTTCCCAATCTTTCACCTAAAATTTCCTCATTACAATCTTACCAATAAAAGCAGCTGACACTCCTATGCGCAAGGCACTATTCTACATAATTTATCCTCATGACCTCATTTCATATTCACCCATCCAAGCTAGATAAGGAATCTGAGGCACAAAGATACCAGGTCACTAGCCCACAATCATATAGCAATGATTGAAATTTAAACTGAGATGAAATTTAAACACAGGTAGCCTGGCTTCAGAATCTGTACTCTGAGCTACCTTGCTGACTTTTGGACATCATTCTTCTAGTTATCCTATTCATTCTCATGCCAGCTTTATGGAGAATTGTTCTCTGACATGCAAAAAAAAAACAAAGGCAGTAAGTGACTTGCCCCAGATTCAAATGTCCCAAAAGTAACAGAAATGACATCTTGGTAAAAATGTAAGCTGTTAGGGGCCTTTTAATTTGTCAGAGATTTTAAAAGCTCTAGTTCCTATTGCCCACATAAGAATTACCCACTGGGTAATTACAAAGAGACTAAGCATGCTAAAAAGAGGTATCAGGGTAGGGGAACCTAGCAGAATTTAAGAAAGGAGAGCTGGCTCTAGGATGAATGTTATCAGCCCTGATGTTCTGATCTGAGGTTGAGGTTTATTTATTTTTTTCTTTTTTTAAATAGCAAAACTCTACAACCAGACACACAAAAACAAATCCTTAAAATTCTAGTTGATTTTTACAATCTGATAATCCACATGATGGAGGAAAAGCATTAGATCAGAAATTGGAAAACTTGAGTCTTGATAACTTCTTGCATCTAATGAACAATTAACATATACCAGGGTATTGCACCAAATACTTTAAATGTATTATCTTGTTTAGCCTTCAGTGCAACCTTAAAGGTGTATTGGCTTTATATGAAACAAGCTCAATCTCATCCAATTTTATATAATTGTAGAGTCAAAATCTGGATCTAGATCTATGGTTCTCCACAGCACATGCTGTTTGTAACCACATCCTCCCTGCCTAATTGCCCCTGATACTAGGCTTGTCTACAAATCTACAAAAATCTTCTTGAATCAGAGCCAGCACCTACCTCCACGTCAAAGTTGGTCATATCAGCCTTCCACTTAAAATAATCTTGAACAGCACCCCCAAAATCTCTTGCAGCCTCATTTGAGGTAAAGCAATGTTTCTCTCCTGCCCTGTTGCATGTGACTCTAAACTTTAGTGTTTGAAGCTCAGTTTCTTCTTTTGAGCCTTCATCGATCTCATCTTTGCAAGATGCCAAGTCATCACCTACTAATGTTGATACCTCCTCTTTGATGGCTGGATTTTCATAATAGTCTAAGATGTGTGAATCTAAATCATTGTTGGTGAATTCTTTAACATCTTTCTCATCTAATTTGTCTCCTTGTCCATTATCAATCTTCCCTTTACTGGAATTTTGATTTATCTTCTTGCGCTTTGTTTTTTTTTTCTTGAAACTGGTGTTAATTTTCCATACTTTTAAAGGATCTGACCATGGGAGTTTTCCAGCCAAGTCTTCAAAATCCTTTAAAACTTCTTCCTATAAACGACAAAAATGAAACCCATTCATTTCTCTCAGTAAATAAAATAATAACTTCAATTAAGCAAATTCAAATCTCAATGACAAGGAAACATACATATTAAGCCACTTAAGAGTAGCCTAAGACAAAATGCTAGATCAGAAGCAGGATTTTAAGATTAAAATTTTCTTTCTTTTTTTTAATTTTAAAATTTTCTTTAAAATGCTTTTTAATTTGTCAATGGATCTTTATTTTATTTACTTATTTATATGTGGTGCTGAAAATTGAACCCAGTGCCTCACACATGCCAGGCAAGTACTCTACTACTGAGCCACAATCCTGTGGCTAAAATTTAAGCAGTAAGAAACTATTAAAATTTAAGCTGTGAGAAATTATCTCTGAAGAGTAGAGGTAGGTAGATGAAGGGCAGGGGAGGGATGACACTTATCTTCTTCTTCCTTTTGGAATTTTTGAATTTTAGGTTGTATTATGTATTTACTTTAAAAAACAAAAATTTTTTAAAGGAAAAAAAAAACTTATGTGGTTAAAAAATGTTCTAATTTTTAAATAGAGTCAACTTTTTAAACAGTCTAGCAATACCCCTTTCTTATTTAAAGCCCTTCAACAGCTTTCCACTGAAAGAAAATCTAAATTTGTCACAAAGCCCAACTTACTCTGACTTCTGTCTATTTCTCTTACAACATTTCAGGTCTAACTCTCTCTCCCTACCTCTGCTTGGAAGATATTTGCTTTGCATGGTCTCTTTGCATTGTAGGCCCCTTTCTCATTACTTAAACTTAAAAGGCACATCCTGAGAGGCCTGCTTTATTTAAAGAAGTCCTTACAAGTCATTCTCTTACTGTTTTATTTTCTTGCAGTGCTGAGCACTGTAAAGATTACTAGGATTATGTACTGTTCACCATTAAGGCTCCTCCCAGAATGTAAGTACATGGTGGAAAGAACTTTATCTACCTTGACCTCTGCTATAAGTCACACACCTAGAACAGTTCTGGTGGTCAATAAACAGCTGTTAAATTATATGTGATTAAAAGTTAAAATGGGAAGTATAGAATAATGCTGTTCAATAGGGCAGCCACTAGTCATATGTAGCTACTGAAATTTAAATGATTTAAAGTTAACAGAAAATTAAACAGTTCTTTCATTACTTTAGCCACATTATACACACTAACATCTAGTAGTTAGGATGTTGGACACAAACATATAGAACATTTCCATCAGAAAGTTCTATTACACAGCACAGATATTAATAGTATATGAGGTTTTTGTTGTTGTTGTTTTACGTGAGATGGAACCCAGGGACGCTTAACCACTGAAACAAATCCCCAACTCTTTTTAATTTTTATTTTGAAATAGTGTCTTGCTAAGTCTCCTAAGGCTTCACTAAATTGCTAAGGCTGGCCTTGAATTTGTGATCCACCTATCTCAGCCTCTCCAGTCACTGAGATCACAGGCGTGTGCCACTGCATCTCGTACAGTATATGTTACAAAGATCAAAGTAGAAAAAAATCATTGCTGACCAACGGAACTGTGATTTGGCAAAACTTGAAACCTGCTGACACAGTATTAAACTGCAGGCTTAGCAAAGTCAATTCTACTTACAAATAACTTTCTTTTTCTTTTTTTTAAAAATATTTTTAGTTATAAATGGGACACAATACCTTTCTTTGTTTATTTTTTATGTGGTGCTGAGGATTAAACTGGGCGCCTCATACGTGCTATGCAAGAACACTACCACTGAGCCACAGTCCCAGCCCCAAATAACTTTCTTATTATAAAGGGCCTCTAGAGGACTGGTTGGTTTAACATGGTGTCATAGAATCTTTAGTAACTTTAGAAACTGTTTTAAAAGAAAAAGCAAATATAACTCATCTTTTTTTTAATATTTTTTTTTAGGTGTAGATGGACACAACACAATGCCTTTATTTTTATGCGGTGCTGAGGATCAAACCCAGGTCCCACCCGTGCTAAGTGGTGTTCTACCACTGAGTCACAATCCCAGGCCCTATAACTCTTATCTTAATTGAATCAGTGCAGTATTTATAACCTTGAACTAAATAAAACACAAGGATTTTTAAGGGCAGTAAAGGTGAAACAGAATGTACAGGAAGACATGGAGAGTGAGGAGGTCTACAGATCTCAGACAAAGGGTAAAGCACAGTCTACAAAGCAGGTAGCAAACAAATTTTGTTTAAATAACAGGAAAGAAGGACATGTACTTGTAGAGGGAGCTTTTCTGAACTCCGTTTGTACCAAGCAATAGCAGGGGAGAAAAATGTTAGCTGAACAAAGATCTCACAGACATGCTATATTTGCTGGAATAAGTCTGTTGATAAGGTAGAGCCAGGGAGATCCTGCACATACCAAACTCTACAGTTTGTAAAATGGCACAAAATTAGCACATAACCTATGTATATCCTATTGTACACTTTAAATCATGTCTAGCTTACTTGTAATACCTAATAAAATATAAATGGTAGGTAAATAGTTGTTATCAGTAAAGAACCCAACATTTTTCAAATATTTTCAACCTATAGTTGGTTGAATCAAACTGGATATACAGAGGGCAATTGTGCTGTGCTTTATGAATAACCCTGCTGATCCTTTGAGGTTAAGGAGAAATAAGGTTTAAAAGCTTATTCAATGGAATGGAAATTATACCTCAATAAAACCATACTCTTTTTTTTTTTTTTTTAAAGGAAGAGGAAGAAGAAGAAAGAAAATAACTCATTTACCCATAATTATGTGTCTGACAAGAAAGATTTCCCTATGGCCTGGAACACCTACATGGCTTCTCCCACCACAAGAACATTTTACACATAGCAGATCCAAGGGGAACTCCCTCACTAAAAGATGAGCAATTATCAAAACCTGTCAGCACAGGACTTATATGAAAGTAATAAAAGGAAAAAAGAGGAAACATGAACAGGAAACAAACAGCAGTCAAAAAGCAGTAATGCCAGAGAGCAGATAAAACTGATCAAACACAATGACATTACAATTATAATGCACAAATAAAAAAGGTGAAAAAAAAAAAAACAATGACATCAGAAACATGAAATGAGGAAATACCTTTGTAAATATGAGCTCAAAACAGAGATATAAAAGCAGAAAGAAAACGTGGAGGGCCACAGAAGAAAATGGAACTCAAAGAAAATACTTAAAAGTGGAATAGAAAAAATAAAACTATCACAGACCATACTGACAGTAACACATGTAAGATACCACTGAATGGGGCTGGGGTTGTGGCTCAGTGATAGAGTGCTCGCCTGGCACGGGCAAGGCCCTGGGTTCGATCCTCAGCACCACATAAAAATAAATAAATTAATTAACGATATTGTATCCAACTACAACTAAAAAATAAATACTTAAGAAACAGAAAAGATACCACTGAAAACACAGTAAAGAGTGTGGAGGAAAGCAAAGCAAATAAAATGACAATGAGCAAAAAAGTTAAAAAGAATTAGATAGAAAATGATAAATATAAAATAGAGTCAAAAGAGATCCCACATATGTATAACTGGTTTCCCTAAAAAAGGGATTTAAAATTATAAAACAAAAAATTTTCAATTAATCAAGAAAACTTTCCAGAAATACAAATGGATTAATATATACTGATAAGGAACTGTCAACAATGAAACACACTCCAATAACTTATTAGGCTTTGAAGCTACCAAAAAAAAAAAAAAAAAAAAAAAATCTGGTCTTCAAGGAGCAAAGATACTGTATACTATGCTTCTATTTGTGTAAATAAGTAAATGAGGGCTGGGGATATAGCTCAGTCCATAGAGTGCTTGCTTTGCATGCACAAGGACCTGGGTTCAGCACCACACACACACAAAAAGCAAATTAAACACATATTCATAAAACAACACAAGAAATTGGTAACAGTGTTTTTTAAATTAAAAAAAAAAAATTTTTTTGGTACTGGGGATTGAGCCCAGGAGCACTTAACCACTGAGCCACACCCCCAGCCCTTTTTTGTATTTTATTTTAAGACAGGGTCTCACTGAGTTGCTTAGCACCTCACTAAATTGCTGAGGTTGACTTTGAACTCCAGATCCTCCTGCCTCAGGCTCTCAAGCTATTGGATTTAAAGGTGTGCACCACCGTGCCCAGCTGTTAACAGTTTTTCCTGAATGATCCACTGAAACACTTAATGCTAGAAGAGAATGAGCACAATACTTTTTTTTTTTTAATGTTTATTTTCTAAGTTTTTAGGTGGACACAATATCTTTATTTTACATTTATGTGGTGCTGAGGATCAAACCCAGTGCCTCATGCATGCTAGGCAAGCACTCTACCACTGAGCCACAACCCCACCCCTAACCATAATATTTTTAAGGAAAAAAATTCCAAATTTTATAACCAAACTATTAACCAAATATAAAGGTCAAAGACAAACATTTCTGACTTCATGCATGCATTCAAAAGATAAAAAAGAAAAATATAACTAGGGTAGGAATGCACCTCTAATCTATTTAACTACAGTACTAAAAACAACCCAAAAAACAACTGTGGGGTTTATAACTATAAAACAGAAAGTAAACATTATAAATTGGCATGTGGTTGGAAGGGTTTTTGTGAAAGAAGATAAGAAATAATTTAAGCATGCTACTCTCCTCATCTCTAAGGTTAAAGAACAGAAGTTAGACTTGATAAATAAAATATATTTAAAGGCATAAAGATCAATACTAAGAAAAATAATAAAGTTGAAAGGTAAAGGGAAGAGAAAAATAATCAATTTCAACTTTGCTCTTAGTAGGGAATCAAAAAAAACAAACATGAAAATTAGTAGATTAAGTACAAAATATCAAGTTGAAGTTATAAAAGTAATGGCCTGAACCAGACAGGAATATTCCAAACTATTAGAAAACACACGCACGGTAGAAACAAAACAAAAATAAGTTGCTCAAGAAAGGAATCAAAATAAAGAACCTGAGTACATTAAAAAAAAAAAAAAAAGGGGAGAGGGGATAGTAGAGGATAGGAAAGACAGCAGAATACAACAGACAATAGAATGGCAGTATGTAAAAAACGTGGATGTGTAACCGATGTGATCCTGCAATCTGTATACGGGGGAAAAATGGGAGTTCATAACCCACTTGAATCAAATGTATGAAATATGATATGTCAAGAGCTATGTAATGTTTTGAACAACTAATAAAAAAAAAGTGCATAAAGAGATTTTTTAAAAATAGAAAGCAAAATGTATAATGTAAATGTGACAAAACCACGGCCAAACAGTATTATGCTATGCTTCCATTTCAGTAAATAAGTAAATGAAATATATATATTCATAAAATATCTCTAGAGGAATACCCAAGAAATTGGTAATAGCAGTTGCCTACTGTGAGGAAACTTCATGGCATGGGGATAAAGGGACAAAGACTTTCCACTGATATTCTTTCAGTCTTTATACAAGTGCATTCTCAGTACATGTATTAACTAGTTGTTAAAAACTCATATAAGGCTGGGCGCAGTGGTGCATGCTTATAATCCCAGTGACTCAGGAGGCTTACGCAAGAGGATCATGAGTTCAAAGCCAGCCCCAGCAAAAGCCAGGCACTAAGCAACTTAGCAAGACCTTGTTTCTAAATAAAATACAAAATAGGGCTGGGGATGAGGCTCCGTGGTCAAGCACCCCTAAGTTCAATCCCTGGTTGGCACTCCCCGGCAAAAAACAACTCATATAAATCATAGACTTGCTCCTCTCAAAAAAAAAAAAAAAGAGAGAGGGAGGGGCTGAGGTTGTAGCTTAGTGTGTGAAGCCCTGGGTTTGTTCCTTAGCACTGCATAAAAATATATAAAATACAGATATTGTGTCCATCTACAACGAAAAAATATTTTTTTAAAAAGGGAGGAACTAATAAATTCATGATATCTGAATAATTAGAGAACTCATGATTAAACTAACAGGCTTTTTTTATAAGACAAGGGAAAGTATAATGACACACACACCTGTAATCCCAGCTACTTGGGAGGATGAGATAGGAGGTTCAAAAATTGGAAGCCAACCTAAGCAATTCATTAAGACACAGTCTGAAAATAAAATGAAAACAGCTAGGGATACAGTTCAGAGGTAGAGTGCTCGCCTAGCATGTGTGAGGCCCAGTGTTTTGTCCCCAATACTGCAAAGTCTACGAAAAAAATAAGCTCAATTGTCAACAGCATGAAAGCTAGAAGCACATGTTTAAAAATGAGGTTTTACCCAGGTATGTTGTGACTGAAGTTCACAAAATGAAGGGCTTGATAATATTTCATGATCAGACACAGAAATTTCTTTTGCATACCTCCGAAAATCTGCCTTTATCCTTACTGCTGTTCCTTGGAGACTTCTACCAGGAACCTTTTCTGCAGTTACTTACAAGGCAACTCTGAAAAGCTAACTCATGTAGAATATTCCATAATTATCAAATTCACCTCCACTTAGAGATCCAAATTGCCCAGAGCAATACCAATTTTAGGATGCAAAAATGCAGGAATTTAAGGATTTCTTTAAATTATTATTTAATAATGCCCTAGTTAAGTTATGTGGAAACATAGATTTTCAAAAATGCCTATTATAAGTTGGGGATTTAGCTCAGTGGAAGAATGCTTGTCTAGCACGCATAAGGCCTTCGGTTCAATACCCAGTTACTGCACTTAAAAAAAAAAAAAAAAAAAAAAACCCAAAAAACAAAAACCACCTGTTAACATGTATGTATAGTATTGACTATCAAAATTTCAAAATACTTAGCAGCAAAAATTGTCTATAGATTGTCTGTTATCCATTAGTTTCATAGGTATGATTCAATTTGCAATGACTATCCAAAGTCTGAAGGTTACTAGGGTTAAATGTACATTCGTAGTTAATAAACTTTTAATCTGTTTTTCAGTGCGAATTCTTTAAGGTCTAGTTTTATTTTTTTTCTAGACTATGTGTTCATATCAGTGTGACTGGTTTTTAAGCAGCATATCCCTGTTGGGTTTTTTTTTTTTTTTTGGTAGGGGGTGAAGTGGGGGTACCAGGGATTGAAATTAGGGGCACTCGACCACTGAGCCACATCTCCAGCCCTATTTTGTATTTTATTTAGAGACAAGGTCTCACCAAGTTGCTTAGCGCCTGGCTTTTGCTGAGGTTGGCTTTGGAACTTGTGATCCTCCTGCCTCAGCCTCTTGAGCTGCTGGGAGCCACCATGCCCGACCCTCCCAGTTGGGTTTTGTTGTTGTTAGTTTTGTGTAGTACTAAGGATTGATCATAGGGTGCTTTACTACTAAGCTGTATCACCAGACTTTGTTATTTTTTATTTTGAGACAGTTGTTGAGACACTAAGTTGTCTAGGCTAGTCTCAAACTTGTGATCTTGCTGCCTTAGCCTCTCTAGTGGCTGAGATTACAGGTGTACAGCACAGTACCTGACTCACAGCTGTTTTAAGAAAGAATAATTCTAAGACATGGAATAACATTGATTAAAAAAAAGTATTTAAGCATCTGACTCTAGAAACCTGACCAAAAATGAATGTGGAAAAAATCTAAAGCTGTACTGCAATCTATTTTCAACCTTCAGCTTAAGCAGCAGCTGAATATTTAGGACTCAGATGCTAAATACATGTTGAAGACAAGGCTGTTGTCTTAACAACTGAAGGAGTGTTTAAATATTACTTTGATTTTATTTTAAGAAATGAAGTTAGAGAAAAAAAAACAGGGAAAAAACAGAATAGTGAGGAAGTGTTATTTGTAGATGGCACAAAAGTTCTCACTGTGGAACCAATTTTATTTTGGAAATGAGTGTGTGTATGTGTTAGCAAAGCTCATTTAAAGTTTACATCTTGGGTAAGTCAAATAATTTTTCTATTTTCTTCAAATAATTTTTCAATACTATTTTTTTTTTTGTACCAGGGGATTGAACTCAGGATCACTTGATCACTGAGCGACATCCCCAGTCCTATTTTATATTTTATTTAGAGAAAGGGTCTCACTGAGTTGCTTACTTCTTGGCTGTTGCTGAGGCTAGCTTTGAACTCAAGATCCTCCTGCCTCAGCCTCCCGAGCTGCTGGGATTACAGGCCTATGCCATGTGTACCACCGCACCCAGCCTCAATACTGATTTTTAAAAGCAAACTTTGAGATGGACTGTCAGTAAATCTCTGAATTCTTACTATAAAAGAAAGTCTGACTGTTTATTATAAAAGTAGGGGTGGGAGTAGAGATCAATGATACAGCATGTGCTTAGCATGTGAAATGACCTGGATTCAATTATCAGTACTAGAAAAATAAAATAAAAACAAAGAGCAATAGTAATATTAAACGACAGACAGACTGTGAAAAAGTAGAAATAATGTCTTTTAGGAAGATGGAAAAAATCAGTTATCATGTTTAGGATAGCTTACCTTTGTATTTTTGAACTGGTAATCTGGAAATTCCTGAACAACCACAAATAAATTATCAACTGATCTCAGACAATGAACCTGGGGAGAAAAAAACTGTTAGAAACTAATATCTGAAAAAGCTTTTGAGTAACACAAGCTATCAACAATTAAATATTTAAAAAATCAGTACAATGGTTTTAAAGCACTTGATATCTACATATAATTTTTTAAAATATTTTTTTACTTGTAAATGGACACAATACCTTTATTTTATTTGTTTATTTTTATATGGTGCGGGGGATCGAACCCAGTGCCTCATGTATGCTAGGTAAGTGCTCCACCACTGAGTCATAATCCCATCCTGATATCTATATTTTTTATTTTAAAAATGCCCTATCTTTTAGTCTTCCATCTGTTCAGTTACCTACCAGTTTCTGCTTTTCCTTGGAGAAAAAGAAGGACAGATCAAACGATAGAAGCTTGAATTGTTATGTGGGCAACATGAATTTTGGGGAAAAAGGAAAAATGAAGAAAATCAAGTGAAGCTTTATCATCTTTCCCTCACGGCTCTCTATGGTGATACCATGTACTATAGTCACTAAGAGCATGGATTTAAGCTCCAGCTCAGCAATGACCAGTTGAATGTGGGTCAGGTACTCAGTCTTTGTAAGCTTAATCATGAAGTCAACTACAGTACCTATCTTCATGAAGCTGTTGAGGGTATTAACTAAAATTTAGATGTAAAAATTCTTGATTGCCAATTCATCCCACAAATATTTCCAGGGTGCCTACTATATACCAGGCACTTAGTGCTTGGGATATACTGGCAAAAAAAAAAACAAAAAACCCAGACAACAATCCATGCCCTCATGTTGCTTGTGTAGTAATGAAATGTATCATGGCTTTTGTTATAGTAGGTGAGTAATTTGCTGACTTTCACTTCAGTGTAGAGATTCTTAATTACTTTTGAGCAAAAACATCTTTGACACAGGTTGAAGGAAAACCTCTGCTTTTATGCTTTATCACCAAATTATAAACCTCAACTAGATGCAGAGATAAATAAAAAAAGTATAGCCACTATTCAGAATTTCTTCCGAAGTTCCATAGGATTCTTTTCAGTGAATTCAACCATCTCAAACTGCTGCTATCACTTCTAAAATACAGCAAACTGAAATATATTTATGAAATGAATTTTATAAATATACAGAATACAATAAAAACGTAGTGAGACTTTTACAAATCAGTACCAAACAGAAAATGCAGTGATATTTTGAAATCACCTAATCTAGGAAAGTGCAAAGAAGAGCAGGGGTCTATAAACTAGTAAATAAGCACAAAATGATCAATTTAGAAAACTATTTTATATACTGCTTCATTCAAACCTGAGCCAGACTTTCCACTGGAATGTCAAAGTATATCTTGCCCCGGTCTTTGCTGATTTTGCATGGTGACCTCAATTTCTCTCTCACTTCATCTGCAGCTGTTTGTTCAAAGCCAGTAGGAACAGTGGCTCCAATAGTGACATGGAGATTCTTGGACTCACTTCTGATGCTACTTTCTGTCACTGGTACAGATCTCTGGTTGTCATGAAGGTTCACATCCAGGAGCTGGTTAGTAGCTTCTTGAATGTCAGACATGTCAGCAATGACTCCAAGGTCACTAATACAATCCCTTTAAAAGCAGTACAGAAAAAGAAATAAAGCCCAAACATAAATCACCTCATATTTCAATTATAATTAAAAACATCTGTTTTGGGGGCAGGAACAAGGCAACATAACCAATACAGCCATATTCAGTCAATGCATAGATTAAGTATTCACCAAAGTTAAAACAGTAGAATATATAATGGCATAATGTGCAGATTGTAAAACATGCTATCATTATTAAATAAGCAATACAGGAACCATGGAAGAAAAGGAGACAGATAAGTATTTCACAGCATTCAATGTTTAGTCTGGGGTTATCTATGATGATTAAAGTCATCTCATAACTATAATAGTTAAAAAAAAATAGAGGCTGCTACAGCACATCGAAATATATTTTTACATCTTGTCCTTTGTTTTATTCATTTATGTATTGGTACTGGAGGACTGAACCTAGAGGTGCTTAACCACTGAGACACATCCCCAACCTTTTTTTTTTTTTTTTAATATTTTTAAGTTGTAGATGGACACAGTTTCTTTTTTATTTTCATATAGTGTTGAGGATTAAACCCAGTGCCTCGCGCATGCAAGGCAAGTGCTCTACCCTTGAGCTACACCTCAGCCCATCCCCAATCCTTCTTATTTTTTATTTTGAGACAGGGTCTCACTAAGTTGCTTGGGACCTCACTAAATTGCTGAGACTGACCCCGAACTTGAAATCCTCCTGCCTCAGCCTTCTGAGTTGTTGGGATTACAGGCATGCACCACCACACCTGGCTCAACCTTGTCCTTTTAGCTAGCAATTAAGAACACAGGGCTTTGGAGTTTCTGATAGACATGGTTTGAATTCTTGCCTCTTCCATTCATAGGCAGAATGACCTAAAGCAAGTTAATTGTCCCAAGCTCATGAGAATTAAATAAATCTCTCTCCTAAGTTGTTGGGAGATTTAAGTGAGAGCAGCAGTTTAAGGTCAATGATTAAAACTTGTTAATGAGTTACCTATCGTCCTCCCTCTTGTGAAGTACACGGTGACCCATGAATTTTTTAAAAGAATAACTGAACACTTACTAGTAACATTAAATATTTGAAAGCCTACCACATGCCTGACTCTGGGATCCACGGATAGACAGCAGATCTCCGAAATATCTGAAAAAGTAAACCAAATTTGCTGTACTTGAGCATGTGTGTATACTAAGAGGGCGAGGGAGAAGTTAAGATGAGGGATCGATATCTCTCATCAGATTTTCAAAGGGTTTATGACTCAAAACAACTTAAGCTGTCAAGAGTATCTAGGCTTTGTGCTGTGCCAAGGATAAGCGATAGTGCTGAACGCTAGCAAATCAGTTCCTGCTCTTAAAGAACTATTACTGTGAATAGGATCTGCATCTTCTACATAAAAGACAGTTGAAACCAGCGAGAAGACGTGTCCTGTCAAAGGTCAGAGCGCGCTAACCAGTGGCGCAGACTGGAGCAGAACCCACGTCTCTCTACTCCCACCCTTTGGGCCCACGGAAGCGAGTCCCGCGGAAGGGTGAAGGCCAGGCAGAAGCAGTAAGATGGGATCTGCCGAGACACAGGACTGAAGTCCGACCCCCGCTAAGACGAGAGCTGGTTCTCCCTCCCTCCCAAGGCTGCAGAGCCACTTCCACCCGCCGCCCGGTTACCGGCCGCTTGTACAGACCCTTCCGGCTCCGTCACCCCGCGGACCCTGCGCTCAGGTCACGCCGCCGGAAGTCGCCTCACCTCCTCCGGAAACGGAAGTCGGGCCGCGGGTCAAGGCGGTTTCGCTAGGGGCGGGCGCCAGGACAAGGTCGTGGAGAACGGGCTTGCGTAGAAAACTCTATGCGACTGAGGACGAGATATTCCGCAAATTATGTGGGAAGAGCTAAGGGCCTTGTCGCTTGTCAGAGCAGTAGGTAGCGTTTGTGGAGTTCTTCGTTGTGCTAACGCTGCATTATCGTTTCACATGAGCCATCTCTTCAGTTTCAACCACTGTGAAGTGTGTGGGCCGCTCCCGTTTTAAAACCAGAGAAACTGAGTCTCAAAGGAGTTAAATATCTTTCTTCCTTCAAAAATGCCACTCGCAACAATTTAGAGTTGGAGATAGGACTTGAACCCAGAGAGTGTGACTCTAGAATTCTTGCTTTTAATCTCTTAGCAAGTGTTGCTCAAACTAGTTCCTGATTTCTGTATTGCCTTAACTGTTTTTACAGTGAAGGTATTGTTTAACATTTTTTAAAAAGTTAGCTCGTTTTCTTTTTTAAGAATTTAACCTTTATTTTTTTTTAATTTTTTAAAATTTGTTTTAGTTTAGATGAACACAATACATTCATTTATTTATTTATCTTTATGTGGCGCTGAGGATTGAACCCAGTGCCTCACCCATGCTACCATGCTAGTGGTAGTGCCTCTACCACTGAGCTACAACTCCCTCCCAAAAGTTAGCTTATTTTCAAAGGAAATTTTCACTCCACAACAACAAAACCCAATTAAAAACTGGACAAGGACTTGAATTAGATGTTTTTCAAAGATACACAAATGGCCAATAAGTGTATGAAGAAATGCTCAACGTTGCTAGTTATTAGGGAGATACAAATAAACAATGCAATACCGGTTGGAAGGCTAAAACTGAAAAAAATTGGACAACCCAACTTCTAGTGAGGATATGGAGCAATGGAGGAACACATAGATTGCTGGTGGGAATGCAAAATGTTTTAACCACACTAGGAGTCAGTTAAGACTTTTGACAAAAAATTTAAACTTGGTGCAGTAATACAAGCCTGTTATTCCCAGTGACTAGGAAGGCTGAGCCAGGAGAATGCAAGTTCAAGGTCAATCTCAACAACTTAGCAAGACTCAACAACTTAGTGAAACCCTGTCTCAAACTAAAAAATAGAAAAGAATTGGGGGTGTAATTTGGTGGCAAAGCACAAGAGGACTAGAAACAGATGTTCAAGCAAAAACTTGCATACAAATAGACCCATTAGCTTTATGCATGCAGCCAAAAAGTGGAAACAGTGAATATATACATGAGCTGATGAATGGACAAATGTTGTACACTCACATAGTTAAATATTATTTAGTCAAAAGAAAGGTTAAAATATAGGTACATGCCACAGTGAAATGCACCTTGGAAACATTACACATTAAGTAAAAGAAGCCATATTCAAAAGACCACATTCATAATTTCATTTGTATGAAATGTACAGAATAGGCAAATAAAGGAGATAGAAAGCAGATTAGTGGTTGCTTAGGGTTGAGGGCATTTGAGCTAAAGAGTATGGAGTTTTCTTTGAGATGATGAGAATATTGTGGAATTAGATAGTAGTGATGGTTGAATATCATTGTGAATATTAAGAAATACTGAAGTTTATACTTTAAAATATTTAAAATAGCACATTTATGTTATGTGAATTTTATTTCAATATATGAAAGAGGAAACTTGGGTGTTAGGGAACACTTATCATCAGTTTTCCTCATCTGCAAAATACTTCCACCCTAGAATTGTTGGGAGTTTTAAATGAGATTAACACATTGTTAAGCACATATTTAAAATAGATGGTACCCTTAAAAATAAATAAAATGAAAACAAAAGGGTTACTAAATTCTGACCAGATACTGTTCTTGCAAAAGACTCTTAGTAGGCTCTAAAATTTAAAACCTATTCTCTATTTTTTAAAGATAAATCATTAAGCTCCGAATAGTCACACACACACCTGTAATCACAGCTACTTGGAAGAATGAGGCAGGAGGATTGTAAGTTTGAGGCCATCTGGGAAATTAAGTGAAACTCTATCAAAGTAAGACATTTTTAAAAAGGGCCGGGATGTAGCTCATTGATAGAGTACCCCTGGGTTCAGTCCCCATTACCATGCCCCCCAAAAAAGATAAATCATCAAGCTAACATTAAATGAGAGAACTTTTTGACATTCTGAGGGGTTAAAACATTGAAAATATTCTCTTGACCTGATTCAGTGTTAGTTAATGCATATCTTTATACTATCTAAAATCATGTCCTACAAACAAGTCTCAAACTTGGGGAAATGCGCATTAAGGCACAGTATCCACCATTAGTATTACTTTGGGTCTGTCTTTAATCAACAAAATTTGTTGAAGATCTATTATGTTTTAGGCACAGGGGATAAACAATGAAAAAAAGAAGTCACTAAGTGTCTGAACTCCTAGAGCTTATATTCTAATGAAAAAGACAGTACAGTAAACATGTATGTTTCTGTGATAAAGTTTTAAGGAGGAAAACTAAGCAAGGTCATGATGGAGGTAGAGTGCTGGAGAGATGGACAAGAATGCCAGTTTTCTGACAGGAGGTCAGCAAAAGCCTTTTTGATAAGTTGACAAAGTTAAGCCTGAAAGAAATGAGAGAGTGAACCATTTAGATATCTGGGAGAAGAATACTCCAGGCCAAGGGAAGCAACATGCTCTACAAAGTCTAGTAATAAGCCAAGAGGTCAATAAGTCTGGGAAGGTAGAAGATGAAATGAAGTGAGTACCTCAGATAGGCCAATGTTTTACAAATTATCACAATGCTTTACAATTAAAAAGGATCACTCTGGCTCCTGCCTAAAGAATGGCTTGAGACTGGGTTTTAAACAGTTGTTAGGCTATTTCAGTGGTCCAAATGAGAAATGATGATGGCTTAAACTAGAATATTAGGGCTGGGTGTGATGAAAATTGTCAAATGCTGGTGTATTTTGAAGGATTAGCTGGTCATTGCTAATGGATTGAATGGGGGGTTTGAAAAGAAGATAAAAACGGGAAGTTTGAGGATCACACCTTGAAGATTTGCTGATCTAGAGTGCTCAGATTGTTGCATGCTAAAGAACTTGGGCCAAAATGCCACAAAGGCATTATAAATGGACGTATTTGCTCTTTAGGGTTTATTGCAAAGCACAGTAGTATTTTAGTTTAAATCAGAAAGACCAAAATGATCTGTTGTGAAAATATTGACTAAAATAGTTAAAGAAAAATGCTGGGTTTTGACAAATTTCATAACACAGGTGTGAAAATGGAAACCTCTAATTTCTTTCTAACTCACAGTAGTGGTTGCATAAAGGTGAAGTGACCCCCAAGGAAACAAATGTTTAAATATCATAGTTTGTATTAGATATAGTGACACAAATTAAAAACTCAGTGATAGCTATTCCCAAGGACCTAGACATCTATTTTACACTGATATCTATCTATTCTGCCTATTATTGTCTTTTTTTGGTGTGTGTGTTGCTGCTGGGGATTGAAGCCAAGGCCTCAGACATGCTGTGCTCTGCTGTTGAGCTATACACCCAGCCCAGCCCTTTCTTAAGATTAAAAAAAAAAAAAACAAAAAAACCATGGTTTAAAAAGTCACAGTGTGGAGCTGAAGTTATAACTCAGTGGTATAGTGCTTGCCTAGCATGGGTGAGGCTCTGGTTTGATCCTCAGCACCACATAAAACAAAAAAATAAAGGTTAAATTCTTAAAACAAAGGAGGAGGAGGAGGAGGAGGAGAAAGAAAAAGAAGAAGTCCTCACATTGTACAACCATTTCCTTGCCCAGATCCATCCTCCTTCTCCAGAGACAAGGACAGTTAGCCTTTTGCTTTTAGTTCATTTGGTGATCACCTCCCTGTCTTCAAATAACATACTTGTAGTACTATTTCTGGTTCTTTCAATTTTAGTTATTCTCTATGGATTCTGTTATATACTTAAGGTTTAGCCTACTAACTTTGCTGCTTTCTATCTCCCCCTTCCTTCTTCTGCCATTATAGTTAAATCCCAATACAGGTTGTTCCTCTACTTTAAATTTACATGTGTAAGTGATAGGTTAAACAACTTTTTCTGTCGACCTCAGACAGCATCTCTTGGTCCTCCACAGTGTATGGTAAGGGTTTTATTAGCACTCCTGGCCTTTCCTCTACCTCTCCTCCTTTCTTTGTACTTTTCAGTCTATTTTGTTAGAGGAGCCCACTTGGCAGGTGGATTCCTGTGGGGATGTAATTAGAAGAAGGGATGCCACTACACCTGCTTCTCTTTCAATAAGCTACTGAAATTCCATCTCCCTGCCCCATCCCCCCAACCCTTTTGGGACCTCATTGAGAAATGAGAGATGTGTCTACAATCCTATTAATGATATGATAGAGTAAGAGCCCATGAACCTTTAACCCAAAAGACCTTTGTCCTGTGGGTTGTTAACAACTAGAGGGTAAAACAATCAGCTTTGGCCGTGCCCTAAACAAGTCCTGCTATTTACTTTTCCCATGCCCTTTTAAGCCAGTGGCTGTAAAAACTTCAGTAATATAACCTCTGTGAGAGCTCAAGTTGTAATTAGTGACATTACAGTGAGTTTTCAAGAAAATGTATGAAATTTATTGGTTCTTTCTGAACTGCATATTGATAAGTACGTTGATTTTTTAAAAAGCAACTCATTCATTTTGAATGGAATTATATTTTTGCAGTAATTGAAATCACAATGAGCTGGTAGTGAAACACCCCTGCCACCTAGTGGTTACTTATGCTGAAGCATGTGGTTCTTTCAAAGCACAGAAAACATAAACGGAATTGCGTTAGTATAGGTGACAAATCCAGCCAATGTCCTGAACCTGGAAATTTTTCATTCCCTTCTCCCTTTGTGTAATCAGAAGAACTAAAAGAGCATTAGCAAGGAAAAACGTTGCAGATAAACATAGGCAGCCACCAGGTCTTTAGCATGAAGTGCCAGCTGCGAAAGGAAGCAGGAAGTTCAAGA